CTTTAGTCTCCTTTAGTATGAATACAACACTTCCTTGTCACATTTCATCATCTCTTTCTCGCTTCCTCTCCTTCTTCTCTGTTCTCTCATTTGTACTCGCGAAGTATTTTTTATCATGAATTTGATTCCACTCAATATTGACAAGCGCACGTCTGAGTCGGAGGTTGTATTAACCTTGAGGAGCATTCGACAGTGGTTCCATCCACGACACAACCAATATTGACACTATCCTTCCCAACAATTTGAAAGCAAAATCATGACTACTATCTGATCCGAAAAGGTCCTGCCAGACTTGTCGAAATTGAAACCACTCGACGAGTCCAATTACCGTTGCTGGTCCCAGAAGCTACTAATTTTCTTTGAGTAGTTGGAGATCGACTACATCCTCATTGATGCTCAGCCCGCCACCATTGCTGCCACCTCTGTTTCAGCCGCCGCCACTACTCATCCCGCCGTCGTCACTGTTACTCAGCCTTCTACCATTGCTTCAGTTGTCACAATGGACAATAAAACATTTACTGTCGCTGTCATCGATATTGATCTCGAATCGTCTTGTTGTCTTTCTTGATATTGACAAATATCAAGAAAGACAACAAGACGATTCGTGGCCATCTACTCAACCATATAAACGACTCTCTCTTTGATTTGTTCGTAGTCAAAAAATCAACAAAGATTATTTGGGATATTGTAGAGACCAAATATGGTGGAAACGATCTAGGTAAGAAGAAGTATGTCAATGGTAAATGGCTGCAATTTCAGATGTCTAATGACAAACCGATAATGGATTAGGTTCATAAGTATGAAAACCTAATGACGAGGGTGCTGTCTGAAGACATGAAAATGTGCGAGATTGTTTAGGCAAATGTACTGCTCGAGAAATTCTCTCATTCATAAGCTTCCTTCCCAGTCCGTAAATTCAATTAAAGCTAATCTAGTTGAATCTTTCAGTGCTTCCAAAGATAGGTTCAAAAATAAAGGAAAACATGTTTATAAGGATAAAAAGCACAAAAGAAGAAGGAATTCCAACTCAAAAATTCTAATAGAAGAATTGAAAAAACCAAACTGGTATGTTATGTCCGCAAGAAATGAAGACAAAAATCTTACTATTGTACCCATAGGAAAGATAGGCAATATCAAAAACGTACTCCACAAACCAACCTTGTAGAGATTGACGATATCATCGCAGCCGTGGTCATGGAAACAAATCTAGTAGAGAACAAGTCTAACTGGATTCTTAAAAACGATCAGTTATTAATGGAATCCCTTGTTGGCTCTCTGTAAAATATTCATTTTGGACGAGGGCTTTTCCAAAAACATCATAAGAAACTAGAGCATCCAAACACTTCTGCTTAAACCATGACCTCTTCCACAAATTTCAGGACTCTACTGATGGCGAATGTGTTTTGTTGAGAATTGTGTCATAGTTGGAGTACTTGGAAAATGAAAGATTCTGTTAAAACTTAGATCTGGTAAAATTTTATCCTTAAGTAATGTGTTGTATGTTTCTTCCCTACTTAAAAATTTGGTGTCTAGAGTCTTGTTGAATCGTGCTGGACTTAGGATTGTATTTGAGACCGATAAAGTTATCATCACCAAAAAATAGTGACTTTGTTGGTAAGAGTTATTTAGCAGACGGTTGGTTTGTTCTTAACACTTATTCTATTAATAAAATTGTTTCTCGTCCCACTTACATTGTTGAGTCTTATTAATGATTTTAAACTCTTGTGTAAGCGTACACAAACCGCGTAGCAAGTGATAAAAAGATCGAATCCACAAGGATTGATTTACTAGACGCTTCATGAATTACTCGAGAAGTAGAAAAGCAAATAAAAGATAACTTGAGATGTAACTAATTGTTGCAACATAAGTAAACACGAATAAATCTTTAAAATAAATGTGCTAGGAATAACATGTGGTTTCAGCTCAAGATCACAAATCACAAAAGGAAGGCTAAGTTTTAAACAATAAGGAGAAAGGAAGGAAAGGAAGGAGGAGGTTGTATATTTTATTTTGATGCAAGTGAACGATGTTCCAGCAACAAGAATTAGCATTACAGGCCAAACTAACATGACATCTTCCCAGATTGTTCAAATTTAACGCTATTCAAATTTTACTAAGAACAACAATGATTTAGCTCAGTTTTTAGCCATGTTAAGTGGGACTTATTCCTAAGTACCCACACCCTATACTCAAATATAGATCTAGTACAAGTTAAAGTCATAGGCTCTTTATTACAATCTCCCAATAAAAAGCTCATCCAATATGGCGATCAAGCACATTGAACATAAGAAGATATAAACAAACTTTAACTTAGCAACAACATTTTTATAAACCAAAAATCAAAGTTCACAAGGCCCCTAAAAAGAAAATAAGAACTATCGCTAGTGATACAAAAGGAGAAATAAGAAAAGAAAACAGTAAACTTCTGCTCTGACCTTCTCCTTCTTGTGTGCATCCTCTGGTTCTTCAAGGTTCATCTCTCTCTCTTTGTCTTTTCGTGTTCTAGAGATTTGAGTGAAGTAAAAATATGGAATTGAATTGAATGTAATGTTGGAGGTGACCTTAAATGTTAGTTTTTTTACCCATTCTTGATTTTAGGGCAACACAATATCGGAGGGATTTGAGGCTAGTCAAGTGACATATGGCGTTCGTAGAGATGAATTGGTGGTCCATCAAGGACATGTGGTAGGCATTGATTTTTTTAAAGTTTTTATTTTTTAGAAAATAATTTCTATTCTTGATCTCTCCTTTAGTATAAATATAACACTCCCCTACCACATTTCCCTTCTTCCTCTCCTTCTTCTTTGTTCTCTCATTTGTACTCTCAAGGGATTTTTTTAGCACCAATTTGATTCCATTATGTTCTAACGAGTGTACGTCTCAGTCAGAGGTCGTGTAAACCTTCGAGAGCATTCCGACTATACAACGGTTTAGCATCAAGGTCGTGCCGATTTTACTTTCAAAGCAGTGGTTTCATCCATTACACGTCGACATTTTTCTCAACTGTTCCAATTTCAACCCTACCATTCCCACCACGAAGAAGGGGTTTAGTCATGTCATGTGTTATATTTTCAAATTCTTATCCTTCAGTTCTTTCTAATATCTTTCATTAAATTATGAAAGAGGTATATTATTTCTCTCTTAGACCTTAACAAATACATTTTCCAGTACTTTTATAAACAATTATAAAAGCTTAACTATATATGCTTAACAATTAATTAATTAAACCATAATAAAAGGCTTGAATAACATTAATTATTAATAAAATACAACAAAATTTCCGCAAATAAAAGGTTGATTAAGACATGAATTTTGACCGTAAAAAATAAAACCGATCAGAAGTAAGAAGTTTCGTAAAAATATTAGCCAAACTGAAAAGTAGTATAAACATGCTGAAGAAGAATATCTATTTGATGCCTAAGTTAGAAGGTGGATTGAGAAGGACAAAGGTCAATTGGGTGAGGATTGCATACCTAGGTTAGTCATTCCTTTGCCCTTTATAGTATTCTACTTCGGTTGAGGAGACAATTGACTTTTATCCGTATAGGGCTAACAGCACTCGTTCGTCTGAAAACACATCTTCCTATTAATCCGTACGCATGCCCGATTCACAAAACACATCGGGCTGTCAAGGTTGGGCGACAGACCAGGATAAAGCCCTTCTCAGTTCAATCACCAGACTTTCCTATGGGCATGCTCGGTCCTACATGTCACTCTAAGCTCGATTCTCTTCAAACTCAGGGCACAACTCATCACACCTTGAGTCCCTCCCAAAGGTTTCTACTATTTGGCGTTTTGATCTTCCCACCATGTGTCGCATATTTATTATTAGACCCATAACATATACAAAATTCACTTCTCATCCGAGAAGAACACTAATTTGATTGTTAGAATCATTTCAACAAACATCAAACTAACATTAATTTATCGATATTCATAATACTCAATAATTCTCTCTGATTGGACACGGATGATAGATTTTCCGCATCTAATTAGTTTGTATTTTTCTTTACCTAAAATTTTTTAACAAATAATTTTCAGAAAAAAATCCTCTTATACCACATTATGTTTAGCCTAAAATATGATATCAAATCCATCTCTAAATTTCTCATTTTTTAGAGAGAAAAAGTAGACTTAAAAAGCGATGTGGGAAAGATATCCTAAAGAAATAAAATTGGATTTTTGATAATAATAACAATTAACAATAATAACGAAATTAAATAATAATAATAATAATAATAATAATAATAATAATAATAATAAAGGGAGAATAACGACAAATTTAAGTCTCGTTGGGAACTTTTTAGGCGTGCGAACATGGACATGGAAATTATAAACAGCCGCAATATGAACAGTGCATTTTTTCTCAAATTTTCAAATTTTTAAAATTACCAAATTTATTGACTCCGAAATTATTTACTAAAATGTAGGGATTAAATTCACTAATATGACTCATTTGATAATCATTTTCCCTTAAAATGGATAGAAGTTAATCTGTACATAGCTCAACTGGTTAAGACAACTATCTCCGATTAAAATAGTGTGAGTTTGAATCCTCACTTCATATATAAAACCTTCTAAATTTATTTAATTAATCCTCAAACAATAAGAGTTGTTATTTAGTTATTTACTCAACCAGTTGCAAAGTTAAACACTTGAAAATTGTTTTAAAAAAAAACTTGAAAATTGGGTTAGCAATAATCTCCAATTCTCCAATTATATTCAAAGATGAAAATAATTTTTGTAAACTTAATTTTAATGTCTAATTATTATTATTATTATATCAATAGTAACAATTATTTTTTTCTTGCAAAATTCTACCTTCACATCAATACTTTTCACTATTATTACATTAATTTTTTAAAAAGCAATTAAAACTTCAGCTCAATTTCAAAAAATAAAAGTTAATAATTTATAAGCATTATTAAACAAAGAGATGATAAGAAAACAAATACAACTCCCAATAAAACAAAACCATTGTAAATTGTAATTATCTTCCAATTTTAAATACAAAAATGTCAACAAAACAAACAACTCTCTTGACGATTCGTCACCTAATTTCTTTTACCCATTTAAACAAAAAAATTAAACTTCCTTCACCATTAAAAAATAAAAATAAAATTTATTTGCCTTGAAATTACGAGTTGACCCAGCTCGGTTGACTCGGTCTTCCAACTCGTCAACAAAATTGAGAAAATGAAACCGCCGTCTCTCACTGGAAATAAGAGTCCACATCCCATTTCCATGACCCGAAATTTCCGTCCAAATCCGCCGGACCGTCGCAGAATCCGCCGCCCCATATCGCCGTCTCCGGCACGCTCGTCTCCTCCAGAAATATCGGCGCCGGCCGATGACACTCCACGAATCTCTGATCCAGAAACTCGAATTCGTCTCCGACGAACTCCTCCGCCGCGCTCCATTCCGGCGGAGATCGGAGAACCGAGGTCGGAGAATCGTAGCCACAATCAGAAGAATTTTCCGGCGGCGGAGGATTTCTCTCCGGCGGCTTGACGATGTTCGTGAGAGCGTCCGGACCTCTGAATTGAATCGCCGCTCGATCGTAGACCATGGCGGCCTCCTCCGGCGAATCGAACGTTCCGAGCCAGACTCTGGCGCGTTTGATCGGATCTCTGATCTCCGCCGCCCATTTCCCCCACTGCCGCCGCCGCACGCAGCGAAATTTCATACCACCGCTCTCGCCTTTCGCCGGGAAATCTCTCCCCTGTTTCGCAGTCCTCTGCTTCGGCGAAGAAAAATCGTCAAAGCGGATCTCGTTGACGCGGCGGCTGACGCGGCGGACGAACTCAGATTCTTCGCCGCTGGAGGTGTCCGTGGCGTCGGCGTCGGTGACGGAAATCCGGACGATCCTCGTGCCGGGGAGCTGCCGGAGGAGCTTTCCGGTGACGGAGCGGCGTTCTCGAAACCGGACGCGGGAGTAAATTGAAGTCATTGGAGTGCAGTTACTGAAGATTTGGGAATTCGAAGAGGAAGAAGAAGAAATTTTAAATTTCAACCGAAAATTGCTCAGAAATTTTTTGCTGAAGATCTTCTTCTTCTTCTTCCTTCGTATTCTCACGAAATTCCCTCATTTTCAAAAAGGAATTATATAAGCCATCAAATAAATATGAGAAAAAGAATTTTTTTTTTTTACAAAAATAAATGCACTGTATTGGAAAAAAAAATGGTTTATCTAAAAAATGAAGAAATGGAAAAATTGCGATTTTTTTAAAAGAAAAATACTTATATGTTAACCGACTTAGAAAGGTAAAAAAATATATATTTTCTATTTAAAAAAACTAAAAAAATTAAAATTTTATCGGTGATCAACGACACAAAAATAAGTATTGTTCTATAATTTTTGTTGGTCCACCGGCCTGAATTTTATTGTCAACCTCTACTAAAATTTATATTTTTATATATGATATTAGATCTAAAACTCACTTTGTGACATTTTTTTTAAATAAAAAGTAATGATATTTCTATAATACATATTTATTTTATGATATTTAGTATAATTTTTCTTTATTTTATCATATTATTATTTCTATTTTTTTTTTAAGGAAAGAAATAATCTCTGTATTGCATGTCATACAATTAGGAGCAATGTTATTACGGTTGGTCAAAATATTCTGCTCCTTTTAAGTGATTAGGGACAAATAAGTTTGAACTTTTAAAAATAAAAGTTAAAGGTAAATTAGTTATAAACTAAATATATCATAGAAAACGAGAAAAAGAAAAAAAAATTAAAAAATATATATATGGTTAGGAAAAGGGGAATTTGGAGTAATTGATTGGAAAGAGTGAATCCCGGTCGGGATTCGAAAACGACATTCATATCCGCCGTATTCTAAACGGAGCGTCCCGATGGTGCCACGTGGCATTTATTTAGCAATGATAATTCATTGGCCTTGGCCCCCAAGTTTCCAAAACCTCTCCGATTTTTTCCTTTTTCTCTTTTATTATTATTATTTTTTTATTTTTTTATTTTTATATATTCTTCAACGGAACTCACGCCTCCAAAACATTAAAAACACAATTTAATTGCGGAATAAAAATTTTAGTTTCTAGAAGTGAGGGATTTTTCAATTTAGTAAGAGAGAAAAATATTTAATTTACTACAAATTTATAAGAAATTGAAAATGTTTCCACTTTTCTTTTTTTATCTCAAGGGCCTTTTGGTTAGGGATTTTTTTGGTGGGAATGTGTATGGACAAACAAAGTCATTTTTGTTACATAGATTTGAAATATTTTCCTAGAAATAGTTTATTCACAAGCATCCTTATTTCTATGGACAAGAGTTTTTTTCCTCACAGACTCACGAGTTTATCCATGAGTTTTGTGAGAGTCTCTCGTCTCAATTTTTTTAATATAACTATTTACTTTACTTTATTCAAATTAATTAATTAAAATTAGTTAAAATATTTAAATTAAATTTATAATTAATAAAACAACATTAAAATTTTATCAATAATGTACTAAATTAATTATTCTATTGTAATAAATTAATATTATTTATAATATATTTATTAAAGAGTGAAACTTAAATTAAAACATAATTGCTTAAAAGAATTATTATTTTACTTAATAAAGATAAATTAATTAATGTAAATTAATTATTGGGAGTTCACTTTTGATTGATTTTAAAACTTTATAGATTGTGCTAAATATGTATATATTGAATTTTAGTTCAATATTAATTATTCAATTGATTATTGTGCTAAATTCTGAATATAGCTAAATTGTTAATTTAAAATTTAGAATGTTAATATAAAATAAAATCATTTAATTTATATTATTCATTTTTTTATTTAAATTTGATTTGTTATTAATCAATGTTTACAATGACATAAAAGACATATTTCTAGAGTAATTATACAAAATAAATATATATATAATTTATTTTCAGACATCTTAATCACAAGCATCTTAATCCCGCAAAAATATACAACCAAACATAGTTATATTTGTTTCCCATGCATCTTATTCTCAGGTATCTTATAATCTCAAACACATCTTTTTTGAAACCGTGAACCCTCTTAGTGACTACTAAATTTTTGTTAACTAACTGATTATTATGTCAATCAATTTTAACATGCAACAACAAAAATTGTATAATTGAAAAATGTTATAAGATAAAAAAATTAAGTTGAGACTTCTTAAAAATAAAGACGAAATTTGAAAAAAAAAAACCATTCCAACAATAAAAACTAAAATATATATTTAGGAAAGTTTAGTGGATAAAGATATTAGTAATCTTTACCCGAGAATAGTTCAACCGGTCAAAATATTGTTGAGGTTAAAAATTTGAATCCCTACCCATGCATATGTATATTATTACTCTTCAAAATATTCAATCTTCACCACACTTAGCAAATCAATTTTAATTTTAAAGTTTTAATTTCTTCGATTGAAACTTTAAATTTAAATAATTAATTATATTGATAAAATTAAAACCCTCCATTGTTTTAATTTTTATATTTCCATCCATTTTGAGTTTAAACCCTAGTAATTTTACTTTTGGTTTCGTCTAAAAGATCTCATAGTAATCAAGGTGTGGTCCTCTACTTATATACTAATAATCTTCCATTTGTTTGTTGTAGGACTTTGGTCGTACTCTCAACGCCACAACTATAAATGTTCTTAAATTAGACGAAAACTATTTCTATGGATTTTAATCCTTTTAACCATGTTGGATATTTTGTAACTAGGTTTGCACATTTTCTTTGGTTTGATATTTTGTTTGAATTATTTGTTGGTTTATAGATAAACAAAAGATTAGGCAAATTTAGGGTTCAATTTGAGAAAAATAAAAAATTGAAGTTAAAAATTCACTTGCTAATTTTTAAGTGTAAGGGCAAGCTTGGCCACCAAGTAACTTGACGTGTTGACATTCATTTCCATTCTCTTTTTGTTTCTACATTGGCGTGACGTATATACATACATATACATATATATATAATTTATTTATTTATTTATGGGTTTAAATATTATTGCGTAATTGGCACATATCTCCAATAAGCTTTTGTTTATTTTAATCTACTTTCAAAACCATGTTGGTCCCTATTTCCAAAATTTTAACATAAATCTTATTAAGGGAAGAAAAGTGTCATGCTAAAATTATGATATATAAAAGAATGTGATAAAAAGAAAGTGAAATGAACAAGACCACTATTTTAAGTATGGAGATCGAAAGCCAAAGTAAGCATAACTCAGCGGTAATTGACATAGTTTGAATCTCCTCCTCCACATCTTGTACTAAAAAAAAGTATGGAGATCGAAATAGACGTCGTTTCAATAGTAAAAAACTATAATGATACATGAATCAAAAAGAGGGACAAAAAACAACCAAAACTGAAATAACCTAGTCAAATCGAGCATAGCTCAAGTGGTTAAGGCACCTATCTCTGACCAAAAGGTCATGAGTTCGAATTCCCACCCTCATATGTACTGAAGAAAAAAAACTGAAACAACCTAGAACAAAATAATACTCAATTGAACCTAATTTATATATCTTTATATCTAAAGTGAACTTAATTCTAACCTTAAATAGCTCGTATATCCTCCATGATCAATTAGCTAGTAGCATGTTTTATTTATTTTCCTGGAATATTTTAGGCATTGTTATGACTGGATTGGATAACATTATTTTTAGAAATATTAATTATTATGTGTCTTTATTTTATCTCGCTAGCCTATTTTAATTCTTATACCACATTACACCTAATTATCAATGGTACATACAATCAATAGTGTGTCAAATTGAGTATAGTTCAATTGATAAAACACCCTATTTTTCTTTTCTTTTTTACTATGACTTAACTAATCGAGTTATGCTTCGATAGGCAATAAAACACAGTTTTCTATCTCAAAAATTAATGATTTGATTCCCTACGACCCGATATTTATATTGAACTAAAAAAAATCCAACCAAAACATCTTAATGACAGTAAAATATTAAAAGAAAAACAATCAAAGTCACAATTAAAAACTAAAGTTAAAGAACTAAAATAGAGAAACCAACAAAATTTAGAGATTAAATTTATAAGAGAGACTCTCTTGTAAGTTGATGGGAAGCCCTATTTGACTCTATACAACATGCACAAAAGAGATTAATATGAAAGAGCTAGCTATGGCTCTAATGTCTCTAATCCAAGTTGCAATTTCGTTTTGTCAATCATTTTCAGTGTTGTTCAGATTTACCGCATCTTTGGAGACGAATTCGAGCAACAAGCATTTCGACCCCAATCTTGCTACCAATCGAACCCCTTCACGAATAGCTAAAATTTCAGCAAGCAATGGGGGAACGATATTATGCATAGAAGTCGTTGCCGCTCGAATTCCATTTTGGTCATCCTGAATCAAGACTCCAATCCTTGTTTTTCATTGTCGAAAATCAAAAGTACATCAGTATTAATCTTCACGAAACCTATCAGGAACACGAGTACGAGGTACTTTCTTCTTTCTCTTCTCTCTTTCCCATTCTCTTTTCTTCTAAATTTCTTCAACCTGACCAATAATCCACGAAGATTTTGCAAGTCTTCCTGTAATCTCATTCTTTATCTTTGTTGCAAATCAAATAGTTAATCTTTATGGAAATTTTAAGAACATTTAAGATATTTAAGATATCATAATCAATATGAGCTTAGTTCAACGGTACTTGACACCTAATCAAGATGTCGTGAATTTAAATTCTCAATCTTCACTCGTATACTAAGGTAGAAAACATCTTAGATATCAAAAAGTTTAAGAAATGAGAGAGAGAATCTAAGATATCATAAAGTTTAAGATATAAAAATATGAGAGAGAGAGAGGGGAATGAAAACAAAAACAAAGGGCCAGAGGTGAGGCAGACTGAAAATGACATGTCCTCATTAAATTCACTCACATTTTCCCTTTCTCCTCTCATGACTTGCATGTTTCTTTGAATAAATCCAATCCATCTATTTTTACTATTGGAATAAAGAAATAAAAAGAATTAAAACAAAATATCTCAAACATGACTTTAATAAATTGACCAATATAAACAAATGAACTTATTGATTTTCTAGTTTAAAAAAAAAAAAAGACA